GAAATTAAGAACGTAATTGATACTGTAGCCGATCCCTCGCGTTAACGACTGAAATACCACATTGCCCACGCCCACATGGTGAAAAAAAGGGAATATTCGAAACCTCCCTTCCGCGGACGTCAGATGACGTCAACCATTCGACTGGTGCTCGTCATCGTCGAATGACGCCATCGGCATGCACCAAGCAGCCCTTGCGAATGATTAATGATGTTTTTAGTGATGAAAATAATCATGCATAATGAAGAATTTCCTTATATACTGCAATGTTGCAGCTCTCTTGCAACATCATTTTGAGCCATGAATCAATTGTAAGGCCATAGTCAAGGCTGAATGGAAGTAGCATGAAACAGTCGCTAATTTATCGCCTGCAAAAAGTGGTTCACTTCCAAAGCCCCAACAAAACACCCTTTCCTTGACGTCAATGGAGTTCACCCATGCTGAACGGTTGAGTAATACTCTTCAACTCGTTTCTCATTCCTCTACGTATTACCTGTTGAACCTCCTACCTATGGAAAATGCTATACTACAGATAGCTAGGGAACTTCAGGGCACCCACATCAATTCGTTAGCGTAGTACAGGAATTAAGCAATGCCGCGGAAGTATAAACACAGCAAGCCGATTGTGCAGCCATCCAGATCGATCATTGCTGAAGTCAAAAAGAGCTCTCTTGGAGTCCGACTGGCCGCTTCTGCATCTGTAGCAGACTTACAGCAAAATTCTAACTCCAACACTCAAAACGAATCATGAAATATGGTTGTAGAATGGCCTCATGACCATTCAGCTACTTCCACGATCAAGGATAGATGCCAGATTGAGGAGGATCTTAGCTCGGAAGAGCTCATTCCAGCTGCTTATTCTCTTTTGAGCGCTAATGTTCCTTGAGAAATGCCCTATGAACTGGACTTACCCAAAATGTTCCGCTTTCGAATGACGTCATGAAAACGTTAGAGAACGGTAAACTATGGATTCCGGTTGCTTTCGAGTTTTCAAAAAACCCTTAAGACGCACGGGACCACGACGGTCACCAGCGCAATGGTCAGACTTCGTCACGAAGACTCTGAACGAAAAGTCGCAATGTCTCGTGCCCTCGAGCGAGGACGATCCACCGGACTACTCTGGCTAGCGAGAGAGACGAACGAAGACGTTACTGGCGCTGTTACTCGAGGAAATCGATGATCAACGGGAAGACAGGTGATACATATAATACAGGAGACCTAAAAAGGTAATGATGGCTATCGCCACAGCGATTAGTAAAATCGAAGCGAAGTATGAACCCAACCAACTTGTCTACTTGACCTGTCTGTCTACTATCGTAAATTGCCCTGGTCGCAGTGAATGATCCCCTTGTTTCGGACATAATCAGACATACCATTGGGCATCCCATTAGTTGCTCGTCCATGATTTGTAAGGGCTTCCTTAACAAGGTTATAGTAGGTTACTGCCTCGCTTCCAGTAAACGATATCGTATGACAAACACAGACAGATTCTAAGGCCAGGGTAATCGATATGCAAATAAACAGCGAAAAAGTCAAAACTGCTCGATGGTTCATGATAAATTGGAATGGAAATAGACAATTATGCCCAGTGTTCCTTGCTCAATAAGTTTGATGCCCTCTAATGACAAATCCCTCAAAATGGCCTAAACTCAGCGAAAACCGCTTTGGGACATTATGGCGAAAATTATGGTCCATTAGGTCGATAAAGTGAGAGTCAGCAAAAAAAAAACAGCAGTGGCCGCTTTATTTTCGAACAACTTCAGTGGCACCGTTTGGAAGAAATGCCATCGAAGCATTCTTGTGTTACATTCGCTCAACTTCAGTTCAAGTTATCAGCTCGACGGAAGAAAACTCGTCCAAAACTGAGTTGTTACCATATAAGAAAGTAAGCGCTCTTACAATCATAGACTTCCTACAGACCCTTCTTTTCCCGTCACCGTCAACCTCCCCCCACTCTCCCTCACCCTCCCCTCCCACCGTGACTCCAGTGAGATTAAGGGAGCAGAGGCGTAAACTTACTTTATGCCATACAGAAATGTTCGAATACGTCTACCAATTACTAAATATGCTTTGCTCCATAGATAAAATCTCTCAGTGTTGACCAATATCAAAACCCGGCCTGGGAATCGATCCCCTGATCGTGAACGTGGCATCAACACCATTTGGCATTGTCCTATTCCCCCTTGGTTGTGGATTCTGTTCACAACCAAAAAATAAAACCGCTCATGTCTCGGATAAAGTCATGGAACGATAAACAAGCTGTCAAACAATCTCTGAATGGGATCTAATGGCCCATTTAATTTTTTGTCAAGTCGGCCTCTTTCTTTCTGTGCCACCTTCATAGTCATAAGTTTGACAGTTTAGTACCCATTAATTCCTAGAAGCCCATCAAAGAGGTGATAATCACGTCAGCTCAATGAACGGCTACACAGCCCATAATATGATTCTAGAATATCCTTGCCTACAGTGACGGTAGAAGCAGATTTCAGCGCGAAGATATGCATTCGAAAAATCTGCGCACAATGTATTTTTTTTCCTTTCCATTTCTTTGTCCATTTTGTTATGTTAATCCTATTCCTTGAAAGTTAATCTATAGATCACTATATATCTCATTGGCGAGGGTGTGGTGCAATTGGATCGAAATTGTCGCGTCGCGGCGAGGCGGACGCCGCGCGCAAAGGAAGTGGCAGAATGCAGCAGCATGTGAAAATAACATGAACAAAAGGAACTACACTTGAATCAAGCCTAAGTAATAATCGCCGCATATCGACTGAGCTGTATGAAAAACGCTATAACTGTAGTAATGAGGCGGACGTTTTGCCGCGCGCGGCAGATCGATTACACGGAACCAATCCCACTGCCCGTCTACCATTTGGCAAGGCAGTTCTCTTCGATACAATTTTACTGTAAACAGTGCATTTACGTGTTGTCCTCCCATTTAGTGCACCCAGAACATCAAATGCAGAAATATTTTACCACGGGGACCACTTACTCCACGACCTTCACGGGCAGAAAAAGCAATGTGTTTTTGTTGACTGCTCTTATTTCGCCGTAGTACGCGATGCGAGAGTCTCACAAGGTTGGCAAGTTGTGAACAAAACTTCGGCATCAGACGAGACCCGAACTCTGAAGGTAAACAGGAACACCATATATTAATAATTCTTTAATAATTCAACGAGCAATGAATGGTACATAAATAGATGGTATATCTCTCAAAATAATCAACACAAACTTGGTTTTAGAGAAAAAACCAAGTTGGACGCGGGTGGTGAAGCGGGTGAGGGCCTTACATAAGATACGATCAGCTTTAAAAAAGGGATTAAGCTCTGGCGTAGCGCACAACATAACCAGAGCTATCAGCGTACACATATAAGGCGTGAAATATTACATTTGTCCGTAATCGCACAATGACAGATGACAAGAAGGACGATATGCGTTGTGAGAATTGTAATAGAAATCTTCTGTTGATGATAAATATACGACGATGTACTGAAAGAAGAAAATGAAGGGAAAACAGTCAAAGAGAGCACAAAAAAGGAGCATACACCTCTATACGTATGCAATGGGAGCAGATTTGGGAAAAATGAAGTGTACAGGGCGTTAACGCCCACGTTCGATGGCAGATATCATAATGAACGGACATCGTGGGTGACATGGCAGTGGAGAAGGGGGTGTTTCAGGACATCATCGTGTATCGAAATCAACAGATAACATCTCAACACACACATATAACAATCGAGCAGGAGTAGGAGCGGTGAAGAATAGGTACATATGTGTTATTAATATGTATATGCCATAATAATATAATATTATACAATATATAAACAATGCCAGCCGTACATTCAACAAGAATTCTCAGAATAAACCGTATATTCCTGAGCCACATGGTTCCCTGCCTGTTACCAGTCAGTTAGTCAGGATCTTATAGATTGACCGACTCTTAGCAAAAATTAGGAGGAAATGTGAAAATGTAATGTAGAGACGGTATCGTAGGCATTTCCAAACGAACTGAGATTGGCTTGTATCCAAAAAGTAGGATTCTGAAGAAGGGAGTCCGAAAGCTGCCAGAAATACCGCTGCATGTAGGTAGCGCTATAACCAAACAGCTTTGAATCCCCCTCGTCTGAGCTTCAAAACAAGGTCATTTCTGTCAAGTTCGTTTGAAAAAACATCGATTTCTCTATGTTATTATAAAATTTATTCTTAATTCTAGTTAGATTTATGGCCTGCATTGAGCTTATATATTCCTGTATTCAACCAAATATACACGCCATCAAATCGCCGTAGTTAACTTTTGTAATTATAAATATAATTCCGCAGTTTACAACGAGCTCATATACAAAATTAAAAGCGCGAGCACACACACACATACACTGAAGCCCGTCCTTGTTAACATTTCAGCTCTCTTCAAAAGTATCGAAGAAAAAACAGAAAAGCAAACAGAAACAGAGAAGAGCAGAAGACCCATCCGCGACGATTACAATCAAAAATATAACGTATACCGCTCTGTTTATATGTACACTAACCCTATGCATATATATTATAGTATATATGAATTAAGTTGTAAAGTTAATCGCGCAATAAAAAATACAACACCAATCAAGGTCATGGTAATAGCTGATGTAAGAATCTCACGGTGAACATATGGTGATTTGTCAATAAATTATAAATAGAACTCTTAATACGACAGAATGTGAATATAGAATTAATAAATTCAATTAAAAAAGAAAAGGAAAACGAAACAAACTCAAAAGTAAAAAAAGCGAGAAACTATGTACTGTAGATGACACGCGGGTCATCGCCGTGCTCTAAATGAACCGGGTAAACCTTGAAATAATAAATAAATTAGCACTGGCCTACAATCAATATGTGAAGAATAAGGCTGCAAGCGTGAGTCGTCGGTGACCAGGTAACCAATCCGTCGGCGACTTTGTCAACAGTGAGCATCGTTTGGGGCCCGGGACGAGATCTGGGAAGCATCTGACAAGGTCCCACCACCGTCATCATACCACCGAGGCTAATACCGATGGCCAATAGACTGAGGCCACATTTAGGATTAGCCGCAGGTCAGAGTGATCGCAATCCACGATGGAACGAACACGTTCTGGTGAGAGCGGACCTTGTGATGATGGAGAGCCACGTGACACCTGAAGGCCTTTATTTAATTTATAGTAAGATCGCGAGTATAAAAACGACAAAGTATGTTAAAAGGAAGGGAAGAACAATTATAGATCCAACATCATCACCCAGCNAGCTTTGAGAAGGGTGATATAACGTAAATGACCTTAACCGGAAGGGGTAGGGATTAAATGAAGATCTTCAAAAATCAAAAATGGAAAAGCTTTCAGTTCCAGGAAAGTAAACAACAGGATTAGAGACTGAAAACCCGAGAAATTAATCCACAAGCTGGAATCTCGAAATACTCGAAGGTGCATAAAGGGGAGAATAATACGGAATGGCCCCAAATAACCTGAGAAAGCATTCTATACGCAACCATTTTCATCAAAAAGCCTAAAGAGAAAAAGTTTTAAAAAATACAAAAAAGTTAAGGTGGTTTTTAGACCGTGAAAATGAACTCACAATCTCGACAAGACTAAGACTCTTGCTGAGCACATCAGATAGCGAGTCTTCCAAATAGCTAATCAAAAGCTTTGGAGCATATCCAACACGATAAAGATCGCAAAATTGTTCCAACATCGATACTACTGCTTCTGATGGTGAATATACTTCACCCCATCCCTCATTAGACGCTACCTGAAGGAATGACTAAAGTGGGGAGAACAGGTTAGGGGAGGAAATTACTGTCAACTTACTTGTACACTCCATGTATGGGTATCGGCTAGAATTATTACGTTGTCGGGAAGTTGAACTGACTCGCACACGGACGACGAGGACATCGACGACGACAACGACGTAGCAGCCGCACGATGACAAGCTGTATCCTCGCAACGAACATCATCGATCATTCTGAAACCATTTCTGTACTGCTTCCATAGCGATAGGACTCACGGGTCAAAAGGGACGCCTCAAAAAAGCCAAATCCCCTTAGCATATGCAGAATCCTACAAATATTTTCCTTTATTATGACTCTTGAATTATGCTATAATGCAGCTAAATAGCTGAAACTCACCACCCTCAAACGATTATCACTCAATATTAATATCAATTAATTTTCATTATTCAGGCACTCAAATGTTGTCTATGGAGCGATGATTTCATGGCCCAGAAACTTTTGGACCCCGAGATCGACAAATCAACCCACAGACATTATCGAAATAAAACAATGACTCATATATGACTCACTTTGCAAACGCTTCGTTGACTTGTCCAGGGCCTCCCACGAGACCGGAAAGCACAAAGTGCGATGAATAGTCAGACGATGGTCCCGCAAGCAATGAGCGACCAAGTCCATCAGCTGGTGTCATCGTAGCGAAGCAGTCATTTGTCGCAGACGTAGATGTACAACGTTCACGATGACTACGATTACCGATGAGCGATGGTAGCGATTCTAATGAACAGGAGGACAATGCGTCGTCATCCACTGAAAGGATTCAGATTTGAAGATAAGACTTTGGTCGTTCAGACATATTGAAATGATCAGAAAGGCAAGTATAGCCCTGAGGGTTGCGATCTCTACGCAGCCTCTGCATAGATTGGCGCAGTAATGCTGTAGACCACAACAACATAACCAGTCTTGTCTACGATACATCCATGAGATCAGCCGGTGGATGGTAATCTTGGGAACCCATAGGGCCCCATACCACCGCCGGATTTCCCCAACATCAGGACTTTAAATGACGGAAGGTAGAATGCTTTTAATGCGCTGTGCATACTCTCAATTTTGCTGGATTATGAGGACCAGAAAACAGAACTTGCTCCTTATATTTTCCTCGAATTTGTTGAGTTCCCCTTTTTGACTGTTCATTTTCACTTCCTCAGTGAGAAGAAACCCAGCAGTGATGTATGTAGTGAACGCATTTGGTGAATGCTATTAATGCATTTCATAGTCATCAAATTAGCAGCCTTTAATTGTCAGATCATGATAAACAACAAGCTTGAGTAACTACGAATCACGCATAACTGACTAGCCGTCGTGTAGTATCGAACGCAGCCGTCGTGTAACCAACAACAATTAATTTCCCTTTGAAAAATGGACCAGTTGTCATCGCAGCGTTCCTTTAGTAAATCAATTGCTGTCTATACGATGAACAAAGTTCGTCTCATCCGTATGCATAGTGTCCATCAACACCACCATGATCCCACTAGAGTAAACAATGAGTACTCATCATTACTCGCATACCAATTAGTACACCTCGGGCCTCTTAGGCTTCTACCCGAAAAGCCTTACCCGGAAGTAGTTTAAGCAAAAGATTCTCTTTTCAAAAACCTAGAACAAGCATCCACCGTGAGAGTTGAGGATAAAAAAGTAGTCTTCGATCTACATTTCATGGAAAAAGCTCTTCATTAGATATGCATTCGCCACATCCCGCAAAGTATTCTTTTCGGAACATGATTTCGTTGCTTTTTTCGATTTGTAGGTTCTTCTGAGTGGTTTCCTGGATAGCTTGAGAAAACCGAAAGTTTCAATAAGTCCTCTGAAGCCAATCCGTGCCATGTTTGGGATGAACCCTTACCTCCTTGTTGCAACCGGGTTCCGGGTTGCGGTCAAGGAAAGTCCAACCTGCCTTCAAAACCCAGCGAAAAATGAAAACCAAAGCGAAATTCTGGGCCCTAACCAGCCCCCTAATGCTTTGTTGCCCATACTCTAGCCATTCACTCCAAAATATGAATTGGGGCCATCAATTCTTTGCTTAATGTCGTTATTCTATATGACGTAAGTGGGCAAAGTGCTCCGCGCAGAGAAATCGGGAACTTTTATGAGGTGGCTTATGCGTTCGGCTTCCATTTAGAGGTACTCAAAGAAATAGAATAGTGAAAAATTATAGGATAATAATAGAAAGAATGACTATGGGGTCTATGCCGTGATTTATGGAAATCGACTCAACCCTCATAAAATGGCTTCAGGCTTCGAGACCATATTTCATCGACTTCTGGAAAGCAAGACCACAGCGCGGCCCAAAGTAGTTGGACAACATAAGATCAAAGATAAAATTTACTACCTATTACCAATATTACTCAAAATGCGCGTTTTCTATGATTCAGTTAAAATTTGGGTAGGAAATGAGGAGAAGAAACGTCCGCATTCGGTCTACTTCAGAACAGGGTCTTGAGAGTAGTGCAACCTTTATTCTGCATGCGGAATTCGGAAGAACCCCTAAAAACACCGAGCGATAAATAGGAAAGCATTGTCATGTAAGCGGGCTATGACTGGATGATCCCCTCGGCTTCGTTCGCCGAAGGACAGCTTGAGTGAGAGACTCATTGTGAAAAGTCTGCTGAGCTCGACGCTAAAGATCCTCTACGACCCTAACTCGGGAAAATCCAAACCGTCGTCGAAAAATAAGCCAATGAAAAAATCCCAATCACTCCATACTTCACGTCCATAGCACCATCCAATTATCATTTTAAAATGCGTTCATTCGATAGAAAGCAATGAATTACGTGAAGAATTTACGTGAAGAAAGCAGAAAGCAACCCATTTCTCTGCCAATACAGTGAATTTCTGCATCAGAAATGCCAAAGTTATAGAGAAAGATTCGCATTCTGTCGCAAATCATTAAGATGGAGATACTGTAGATCAGTATTGATATAAATAATGAAGTATTTCTACAAAAAAACACGAGAATGCAAGTTTTTCCGTTACTGTCGAACCGTGCTAATGGTAAGCATCCCATCTATATACCAGTTGAAATGAACCTTTTCCTCTATTCATTCTTCACTAATTCTAAATTGTGAAGTTCAAAAAGCTCAAGAACTCGAGCCACTAAAATCGCCAAAGCCAATCAAATTCTTTGGAAAATCCCTAGTCTACGTGACGAATCCTTGCGCAAGTACGAATCGACTTGGATCACATATGCATAGGCATGGTCAGCCGTATACTCATCCATCATTTCCACAATATGTAGGCTGTCGCAGTGCGCAGCACGACGTACATCGCCACTATCTCACAGCACAAACTATGCCTATCCTATACCCCCAATAAACACGGACAAAGGAGGTCAAAATCCAGATTTAACGAAAGCAATCAGAAACACCCAACGAATCTGCCTACAAGGTTGCAAGTTCGACTATATCAGTTTATGCACGATCACAACCATCCCTTTCTTGTGGCGCGATTAGCTCACCATTTGAAGGCGCCTACTTGATTTGCAAAGTCTGCAAGATCTAACCCCGTCCGTGCAAAACGAGTATGGGATTAACGAGTGCAATGACGTTACAAACCTACTTATCTCACGGGATTAGCAGATTAGCCTTTTAATGCCTTTCCGGTTCTGTTAGAAGTCAATACCGAGGAGTAACTCGGAATAGACTGATCAGTGATGTCCGAGACTCTTTTGCATGGCACTTACCAAGACCAAATATCCACGAATTAATAGAGCGAATTACACCGAGACTCTGAGAAAAACCGGCCGGAAGTACCCATTTGTAATAGCTACCCACATTCCCACCCACTAGCCTGTTGTTTCGGAATTTCCTGTGACCCATTTTTCACCCAGACTATGCACTCGAAATCATTCCACCCCCTGTTTCCGCAAGGTGGACGACCAATTTTACAACGCACAGTGGACTTCAAAGAACAGCCCGAGTTCCATACACCTACCACACCCATTTGTCTCAGTCTCCGTTCGTTTTTATGCCATCTCAGACTGCTTGCGCTACTTCCGCTCAGTACGAAGCCCCCTGAACAGCTGTCCTCTAACGCCGCCACAATTCGAAAACGAACATAAAGTGCGACGAGGAAGAGAACAAAGTCTGTATAGCCCCGATCTTCGTCCCATCATCATACTTCGCTGAACATTTTTAAAAAACGATGACGACCCTACACAAATAGTAGTTGGCTGCATTGTATTGGAAACACCTCATGGAACTCGTTTCGAGCGGAACGGTCCTGGAATTGATTCATTACTGCATTCTCACAAAAGTCTTTGGGTTCCCTTGCAAAGATCTCTTCCTCCACCAACCAAAATGCTGCTATCGGCGCACTGCTGCGTAAGGAACTTGCGTCAGCAACTTTCAAAAAACAAACATCTTGAATATACACAAAGAATGAGTCCCACTCATAGATTCTTAATTGGCTTCATAAGGCTCAAAACCTACATAACAAACAGTCGCAGCCAGAGATTCTGAAGACAACATGCAGACCCCGTGGTCATATTTCCTCAAGCCCACCATCTACCAAAGTCATGAGGTTGTAGTGTTTGACGAAGAATCAAAGTCCCCACTGAACCCTATATCGTGCTACGTGCCCCCCCACCCTGAATGCTGTAATGTGGAACGACGCTTCTTAGAGAGAGTTCGCAGAGAACTCTCGAATGGATCCGGAAAGAGACGTTGTTTGTTTTTCATGTTCGTTTTTAAGTGATACCAATTAGTGTCATGTCTTGCAGTTACACATTCCTTGTGTAAAGCGCTTCCTCTTGGGACACGAAGGAATGCAGTCGCACTTCATTAATGTGGTAGCATCAGCGACTGATTCAAGTCATTCACGTATTCCCTTTGGACTAAGAACTTCCCCCTCAATATTAATTCAGCATCAGATTTCAAGCTACACATGATGTTTGAACTGAAATCTTGCCAAGGATATAAATAAGGCCTCCCACTCCGTTATACGGATGAAATATGATGCGGCTACTAATCAATCAAAAAGGAAGTGGGAATTAAGTAGGCTTATTCCCCTATGATCACGTCTGGGAAGCTAGGATTAGGATGGAGATAACCCTAAATTCGGTATCGTCACGCCACCGACACTTTACCTCTAAGCTAGGCTTTAATCAGGAAAGAACCTCTAACGAGCAAGTTTACCTCTCACTTTCTTTACGCAGTTCTTGGAAAGCATAAACCTCACAAGGATGGCGACCTGGGGGCAAGACTTCGGCCTCGGGCGGGACTCAAACCCATACCTATGCTTTGCGGGACCGGGCAATGAGAGTAAACCATATTTATCTGGTCAAAATTCGTTAAAAGCACCCATAATTCAGGAAAATAAGAACCGGTAAGATGGATGAACCGGTGGTTGGGTAAGCATGGATGTACTTATGAGTTGTGATCAGCAGTTGTCTTCATAGATCCCTTGCCGATGCCGGAAGTTGACACCAAGTGGCGGCTGGCTAGCGAACTGACCGCATCGACCTTTTCGACCGCTCGTTCACCGATTCGGCGACATTCGGTACGATGCAAGACAAGCGTATACGACGGCAACGCAGGCCCAGTGAAAAATGCCGCATTCCAGACGATTTTCGTTGAGAAAGCCCGATCAGCGCAGCCGCAGAGATCGTCACTTCCGATTCGATACGCTTGTCGATGAAAAACGGGTTTATTTGAACTGTATACTCTCACCTTTACCGGGACTGAATGTTCCGTCCAAAGGGCACTCAGATGGAGGGCTGGCCAACGATTCCGGAGTTGTCGCAGCGCAAGGTGAGAACGATTGAGCGATCGGTAACTGTGAACAGCGCTCGTCATCTAAAACAAAGATTACTTCAGTCATTAAAACGCATAATCTTGATGGGGTACTAGTTACTGTCCTTTCCTCTCTTCTCTCTCATCTGTGACTATTATTACTCTTGCAGTTAAAAGTGATGTAAGCTGGAAGGGCCAAGCCCATAAGGAGGAGCCTCAACTGCAACCTTCATTCAAAATCGCAGAAGACTCGAACCAAAAAT